CCCCCGTCTCACTTGGACAGAGAGAGCGAAAGGCGGAGGAGTGGGGAGAAGAGGGAGGGATGGATGGAGGTATATAGAGAAAAGGAGGCCTCGCTGATTGAAGAGAGCCCTCTTCACCTACACTTGGATATGAAATACGAGCCCAGATAGAGAGCGAAGGGGGGGGGGGAGATAATAGAAGAAGAGAGAAAGTAGGGCAGGGAGAAAGTGGGTGAACGGAGCAGCCGTGAGCTGTTGGTGTGACTGGAATAAGAAAAACGCTCTGTGCTACGTTTTAAAGGGAGGGGGGAAAGGAAAACAGTCTGGTTCTGTTTTATGTGGTGTGTGTGCAATTAGAGCCAAAGAGAACGAGGAAGAGGAGGGGGAGGGGAGGGGGCTGGGGTACCCAGGGAGGAGAGGGGTTGAAAATAAGTAAGGGACACCAGGAGAACAAAGGCTGAGAGAGAACTTGTCAGCTGACAGGGAAGAAGTGAATTAATGGAAGCTGCAGAAGGAGAATAAAACAGTTTTTGTATGTGTGACATATTGAACACCAGTGTTCCCAGCAGCAGCAGCAGCCTGGTTTTTGGGGGTCAGACAGCCTGAGAGATTATATTGAAATGTTAATGGAAACTTGGAGTGGCTCCTTTGCTAGACCGCTTTCTCTTGTGAGAGGAGGAGGGAGTCAGGAGAGAGAGTGAGAAACAAGTTGGGGCACAGAGTGGAGAGGATTTAAATAATGATTTACAGCTTTTCTATGTAACCTTGTATTGACGTTCAAATCTGACACAACAAATGTCTCGGTAAATGTTTAGTAATTCCCAACATGATGCAATTCCAGTCAGCAGTGACAAAGAACAACATTTCTTCCTATCAATCAGGCCTAAGTCAGAAGTGACTTGTCCGTTAGTTTAAACAGACAGCCAGTGTTAATCATCGTCTGTCAGTCTGTCAGTCACTGACTGATGATCTGTTCCTGCCTGCTGGCATCAGACAATATTGACGCACTGTAGTGATGATGTAATGTTCGATGGTGAATACAAATTAACCGTGAACCAGGTGTGTGTGTGCGTGTACGTGCAGCAAAACAAAATACATCTTGTTTGTTTTTTTTGTGTCTGACCAGAAAGTTGTGTAAGTCTTCCAGCTTTGGTGATTTGCCTTCTACTGGTCCAAGTCACGATTCAGCTGAAGCACTCTCTCTCTCTCTCTCTCTCTGTGTGTGTGTGTGTGTGTGTGTGTGTGTGTGTGTATAATGATGTCAGACAGGGTTTCCAAGACTGTGTTTGTGTTGTAGGTGTGATACCAGAGTTCAATTTGACTATTTAGATATAAATCATTTACAAATGCCAAGGTCATGCTGTTACTAAGCCACAGGTGTTTGCAGAAACAAACATACAGAGGTGTATTGCAAACACACAATGGGCCTATAGCCTGAAAGTAGCCAGAACACCCACTAAAGCCTTTACCTTGTTCAGCTTGTGTCACACAGCCTAGAAGATGCCGTGTTTTATGCTAATCTCATTTTCTTCTGTTTATAAACACCTACAGAATCAGAAAAGGCATGTCCTTAGTTCCCCTCATGTTGTTGTTTACAGAAGGAAACTCCTCATTACTGGCTATGTACACTCAACTACTTCCTGTTCTACCCCTGGCATGCTTCTTGTCATCAGCTGGTCGAGTCTAATAAAGCTCTGTCTTTACAGCCAGCTGCAGAGCTAAGGAGCTAAGCAGATAAACCTGCGGATGGCTCCCATCTTGCTCCAATAGGCGGTGGAACAGTGGATGTGTTTCTCACGCACCCTGGGTCATTATTTCTCCGGAAGCACACACAAGCGGCACAGAGTAAACATGGCCATTTAAGATGTTGAGGTCTGCATTTATTAAAGCAAAATGCTGCCGGTAAAGACCCGCTGTGTCTGGCACACCTTGGTGTTTAGCTGACTGACACATGACTGGGCTGTAAAACACACTTTCAATTAAGTTACCGTTAAGCTGTTCCTGGATCTGTTTAAAAAACAGAGAGACAAAGTTCCCCTGGGCCAGATTCCTCTTTGCTTTTACTACCCTTTTTTCTTTTTTCCCACATTAAAGCATTTACAGACAGGGTCCAGCCCAAGGAAAGTATTTTTCAGGGTGAAAATGGGAAGACATAACTGCTTTGCCTATTTATACCACCAAACGTTGGGGCAGAAAAAGAGAGGCAATGAGGGAGAGAGACATAAGAGTAACGCTGTGTTACAGAGGAGCTGGAGCGTTTTCTCTCAGCGGAGCACGGCACTCTGTGGGCCAGTTGGCTCAGACCAGAACAGCAAAACACAGGGCCGTTGGCATGGCGACAGAGGAACACTTCCCTCCTAATTCAGCCCCGCTCCGCCAGAGAGACAAAGAATAAGAGAGACAGAGATGGAGGTCTGCTCTGCTTCTTGAGCCATTTGTAGATATCTTATAATGGTTTACACAGGGAGCAGGTCTTTGAAAAGGTTTTGAAAAGACAGGACACAGAGTGCGTGCAGCGGCCTTGTCCTGCATTCTGTGGTCAAAGTAGTCTGGACCATCAGAGCTGGAGGCTGCAGGGTCACAGAGTCTAGATGACCCCCATCCTTTGCTTGATGTAAATCCTTAAGTGGGCCATAAAACTATTCATGCAGCTGTAAATTATACAAGCTGACCTTTTCATCCACGGTCAAATGGGAAGCATGCTAAACATCTAAACAGGAGTGAAATCTAATCTGACTGTATTTAGATACAAGTCAGATGTCTCGTTTTAATGTGCATGGATGACTTGATTGTGTATTAAGTCTGTTGGGTATCAATACAAACCTGTTAATGCTTCCTGAATCAGGGATTTACTGATTTACACAGAGAGAGTATGTTATGATACAATGTAACAGGGTTGCACAGCAGTTTGTAATGAATGAAGGTGCTTGTTTAGCCATAGTTGCTTTATATAGAAAGTTCTTTTTAAGGCAAAGGGGTGATGTCAGAAACACTCAAACAGAGCTGTTTTTCTCACTACTACACTTATATCTTACACTTATGTCCAAAAACATAGGTAAACACTGTAGAGGTCTTTGAGGTCTTTCACGCAGAGGCAGTAAAGCAGTGTGTCGGGGGTTGTGAGGGATGAGGCTGTGAGGAAATTAAGTGTGTTTCCTCTCTGCTGGAGCAGACGGGCAGGGTGCTTCTCCCCGACGCTCTGAGAACACAGCCAAAAAAGGAATCAAACTGCTGCAGAGCGCTGCAAGCTTTGCGAGCTGCCAAACTATTCCTGTAAAAGCACTCTTTTGGTGGAGGCCTGAACGGGAGACCTTTGGAGAATGTAAAGGAAAAACATGTATACAGAGGGAGGAGGATGCATTGAATTCATGATGTGCACTTGCGGTCAGTGACTCCTGTGAGGAGAGCACCAGGTTGCGACGGCCTGGAATGATCGCAATGGAGGCTTTTGAATTAACGACTATTTATTTGGGCATGTGAAGTCTCCTCTGGAGGGGACCATATGACCAAAATAACTGGCTAGGACAGACTAATCAGTCATGTTGCTGTTGGATTGTGTGGTGGATTTGTTACACTATGCTACAACTGTCAGTTCTGTGAAATATTCACTGGTGTTGTTTGCAAATGTATATGGGGGGAGGCTATAGGGAGGGGGGGTTCTCTGCATTCTCACAGATGAAAAATAGTCAAAAAGACTCCACTGATTATTCAACATCTGGAAAAGATTTGGGCATGTGAACTTGGTCCTGGTGGACTCCTGACAACATGCACCACTGGGATGCACAGTATATTCTGAACAGGCTGCCTATGAAGAACTCATCAGTCTCACATACACATAGCTGTATACTCTGAAGGTTTATAACTTCAACCTTTCCCAAAGACCCATGTCCTCCTCCTGGTCCTCACGGAGAGCTTCTGAGTTCATTTCTGTCTTGTGGTTTTCAAAGTTAGTCCTCTTTAATAAACCCTCCTGGTGCATGTAGAGTTAGTCTTAGTGATTCTAGGAGAAAATAAAACTTTAGATTTGGATGTGATGACACTACAAAATTTCAAAACCTCCCTCTCTCCCACAATGACGTGACAACATGGTGAATCAACCAAGCTGGGGGAGAGACTGGATAACCACACCTCTGTGAAAAAACACAATACTTCATCATCAGGACCTATCCCTGGCAAAATGACACAGCAAACGTTGCAATTTTTCTTTCTTTCATCACAATACCATTTAAAGCCACACCTCAACTGTTTGCTTCGTTTGTCCTATTTTTCAGATAGAAAAACATCATATCTGAGCTCTGCCTCTGTACCAGACTAGCTCACAGCCAGCTGCTGCTCTGTTAAACAGAGCTGTTTTTCTCAATACTACACTTATCTCCTCACTCCTTTACCATAGTTGATGTATTGTCAACAGGCTGGCTATTTAACAAGTCTTTGTTAAAGGCAAGAGGCTGATAACCTATCAGTCTGTGCTGCTGGTGCAGCGGTTTCCTTCCCAAAACTTCACACATACACACACACACACACACACACACACACACACACACACACACACACACACACACACACAATTTTTCCACATAACTGTGCTTTGCCTCAGGCCTAACAAACTATCGCCTTCGGGCCTGAGGAAAAACAGTTCACTTCAACTCCATGACCACGTGCTGATGTCATCCTCAAAGTGTTTTATGTCTCTGAGAGTTAACGTGTTCTCGATTCGTTGTGTTTCTGCCTCACTCGACTGTCAAAACACTTTGTTTGGCATTTTAACTCTCCATCGATTATGCTCACATTTAGCAACATTTCTGCCAGTTGTGTTCTGACTGCAGTTGGATGGTGACCAGGCGATGGTGTCATGCATAAATTGAAAACAGCTGCATGATTTTGTAACATTTTTACAAGTGTGTTACTTTGTTACAGAGACCCTCTATCCCATAAAGAATGAAAATTCCTTAAGAAAATATAATATGACTGTAGTTTCTGATAACTGTCACTGATCATCCTTCCTTCCTTCTGCTCTGCAGGAATGCGTCCCAGCTGAAGCAGCTACAGGACCAGATTCTATTGGAACAGCAGGAAGCCGCCAACTGGCAGCAGCAGCAGGAGCAGCACCAGAACCAAGAAGTCCCGCCTCCACCTCAGCAGCCACCTCAGGAAGTGCTTCCACCTGCTCCGCCATCTCCACCTCTCCCCCCTCCTCCCTCCTTCCAGGAGTTGGAGAACAACACAGCCATGCAGGCCAGCACCTTCAACTACGCCCGGCCCAAGCAGTTCATTGCTGCTCAGAGCCCTGGCGGGGCGGGCTATGTCACCCAGTCCTCTGGCTCCTCGGGGTCGAGCCTGTCCTCCCCCTTGTCTCCTCCCACCTCACACAAGCCCTTCGGCAGGGTCACCGTGCCCCCCTTCACCAAGGCCGGCAGTGTGGAGTCTCCGAGCTCTCCTTCATTCCCGCCTCCTCCTCCACCTTTCCTCAGCTCCAGTAACCTGTCCTCTCCATCAGGACCCGCCCAAGACTTCCCTCCCCCTCCGCCTCCTCCCCCTCTGCCCGTCTCCTTGTCTCCAGCCTACTCAGATATGTCCTCGCCATTCTCCTCCGTCCCTCCATCTCCAGCCTCCAGCTTCCTGTCCTCAGTGCTGCCCTCCACACCTTCCTCACCTGCCAGTCCTACAGTTAATGCCCTGGGCCTTCCTAAAGGCAACGGGACTGTGTAAGTATCCCTGACATGCACTTGTACAGATTTTTCTTTATAGTGTCTTTCATGTTTCATAAGTTTTGTATGTTCTTCACACACTGTGTCTCAGGCGAGTTGAGCTCCCCGTCTTGTAAACCTGCTGCCAACTGGAGGCAGGACGCAGGATGTCTGCTAGATGGAAGATGACATGTTTACATTTTTATACAGCATGTTTACAGGAACGCTAACTATAGAGCCCTTTTAAACACACACAAACCCACACATGAAGACACAAAAGTGTTCTTAAGGTGCATGAGCTCTAGCCCCCATATGCCAAGAAAACCACTCAGGACACTCAGATTTCAGTATCGTAACTTGCGTATACGCTGTATGAAGTTCCTGGCTGTCAGGATCTATCATTTCACAGAGTTTCTCATCCAGCTCATATGGACTGCAGGACGGCTGCATTTAGATTTTGGCTTCTTCATATTGAGTTAGCTGATACAAATCTCTTCTGATGGCTGTTCTGGAGAGAGAAATTTAAGTTTTTAAGTTTTTTTTTTCCTCCTTCAAGGGCATTCCACCACCAGCTCTTTGCCAGTCATCAGTTTTCATCAGCCCCTCACTCCTGCACTCCCCCTCTCACCCTGGCATTCCTGCTGCAGTTGTGAGAGATAAGGAGACACATTGTGGAATGCTATAGCTGGACATGTCCAGATAAGAGTGGGATGTGAGAGAGCCAGAGAGGGAGCAAAAAGGAGCTAGAGAGGAAAGAGGAGTTGCGACGCATTGAGATAGCCTGTGTGCGCCACAGAGAGCGTGCCACGACTTAATGCTGACAAATGTTTCTGTTTTGTCCTTTCAGCAAAGCGTTCCCCAGGAAGTCCTCGGTCACCAGGACTCCTCGTGTCACCTCTGACTCAGACATCCAAGGATCCAAGGATGCTGTCATCCAGGACTTGGAGAGAAAATTGCGCTTTAAAGAGGAGCGCATAAGCAATGGTCAACAGGTGTGTCTGTGTGTGTGTGTGTGTGTTATTGTGTGTCCTTACTCCATTACTGAAACAACTGTGTGTTTACAGGCAGTTATAGAATGAGCCTGTTCAGTAACACAGATTAACAGGTCATCAATAATTCATGCAAGAAAACTGTTTTACTACCACTAAAAAGTGTATTTAAACAAGCTTTTGTGTCATGCATCCTCAAATAAATTCATAATGTTGTTCTCCATACTCAGCAACATCCCTAATTAACAAATACAGTAGATATGTGATGGTGTGTACAAGTGTGTGTTCTGCAACTCACACACTAACCCCCCGCTGACCCCATTAATCCCTGCTTCCAGAGGTTAACCTATGAGGAGAAGATGGCTCGCAGGCTGCTGGGTGCTGACAACGCTGCCACAGTCTTAAACACACAGGACACAGAGGAGGAGCCAGTCACACAGGTACGGTGGCTCTTTACTAGGATCCACACACCTGCAGGGGAAAATCACACACATACGCACTCACCTGAAATCATACCAGCATGGAAATGTTTGGCAAACATGTCCACACCAGCACTTTTTTTTTAAAGCACAAGTCCCATGTGCATGTATACGACACAAGCACCTTTCTGTTTGCTGCTTTGTCCACTGTTACTTTGCTGGTGTCATTCCTATCTCATGACTGCTGGCTTTCCTTTATATACTGTCGAATCCGAGCACACACCCAACCCCCAGTCCCTGTAAACACTGCTGAAGAGCGAGTTATGAAAGCAGGGTATAAACACTGTAAAGTCCTCCAGAGCCCTCCATAAAAAGCTCTGTTTATGCAAACTGGTAGAAACCAGTGTTGCTACAAACATGCTGGGGAGTAACGCTGTTTGAAAGCTTGTGTAGCTATTTGTCTGACTGCATAGCACCTCCCCACAGTGTTGGTTGTTCATTCACGGATGAACAGGCTTTTTCTTTTTTGTTTAGTTGCTTATATAATCCTTCATCATGGCTCCTTTCAACCTACAGAAGAAATTATTTGTTGACATGGTTTTTGTAATTTAAAATTGGGCCAAATAAAAGATGAATCTGGTTTAGGTTGGTGAAGTTCTTTCAAGCTATATCAGTCAAAGTTTGTAGTAATTTAAATGTACATACAGCATGTAGAATGACAGTAAACAGAGGTGAAACTGGCTCTGAATGACACAGTGTCCTCCGTTAACACATTGATTAGTTAAGTGAAGTCACAATGCAGACATAGCGAACGTCACTAAAACACAAATTGTGTTCACACTGACGCATAAAATCGAGTTAGCGCGGAGCCGTTCCAGTGTGACGTAGCCTGTTGGCATGAGGAGCGATCTGATTGGTTGTGGCACTGCAGCACTGCATGGCTCTGAGCACAGCTCTAAACCTGTTGGGAATGCATCAGTGTAAATGCATCGTATTTTGATACTTAAGCATGTGAATTTGAATTTTCTGTGTTGACAGCAGGTAAGATTGAACGTGAAACACACAACCCACACAGAATAACTGTGTTTCCCACCCGGTGTGATACAACAAGCAGACAAAACCCCCTTTTTTCTCTCAACAGGAAGATAGTTCATCTGATAGAGAATCTTTCCCTCAAAAGGTTTCTAAAAATCTTTGTTTCTCTCTGTCACCTTCCGGTTTTTCATTCACTCCATCTGAAATGTCACTGTGTGTAAATGTGGACACAAAGTCACGCTAAGGGCTTGGATGTGTTCACTTTGACCAGAACAGGATCAGGCCTGGGAATTAGCTGATAAGGGAACAAAGGGCATTAATACGTAATTTGTTTTCTGGTCTCTGTGGTTCCATATTGACTGTGTAGTCCATTCACAGGCAGGTGTGACAAACACAACAGAATAGAACTGATTGAGTGTTTGTGCAATGTGGTCTCACCTTTTACACTTTGTTGTTGTTCAGTGCAGGTAGTTTGATTCAGATAATGAAGCATGTTCGAGCTTGATTGCAACAAATAAGCATGCTTGGTTTTACCCAGATTGCATTTTGTTCTGTCTGCAATGCATGCTGCCATCTTTGCTACATTTGAGATTTAAGTAGCAATTAGGACAGTTGAATATGACTTTGTAAGATTTTCAGAAAGGAACAGGCTGCAACAGCTGCCTCGCTGCTATTACAGGATAATAGAGAGGATCTCGATGGGCCACTTCTGTGTTTTGTCGTTGAGCAGCAGGAGTGAGTTCAGGAGGATAAATGCTGGTTGTGCAGCTGTGCCCAAGGCCTGTCATTATCTGTGTGATGTGTCATCAGACCATGCGGCTCTGCAGATGTTCCCTCTGCCTCAGCAGAGCTACAGTGATGAGAGATTGATGGAGATGCTGGAAAGGAGGAGTGGGTAGAGTGAATTAGAGAACTGGGAGAAAGTTGGCAGTTTGGGTGACAATGAAGACAGGTTAATGGGTGTGTGAAAAAAAACTGGAATAGGGCAAACAGAGTTTTATTGATAGCTTTCCGCACGTTTTTAAATGTGCTTGCCTTTGTGACTACACAAACCTAGCGTAGAATCTCTCTCTCAGTCTTTCTCTGAATCTTTTCTCTTTTTCCTTCACCGGTATGCAGGAATATAAAGTGTCCAGCTTCGAGCAGCGCCTGATCAGCGAGATTGAATTCCGTCTGGAGCGTTCTCCGGTGGAGGAATCAGACGACGATGTCCAGCACGATGAAGACTCCACCGGCAAGGGGGTGGCACCAACCTTCGACCAGAAGCTCAAACACTACAAAGTCTTCGAGGGCATGCCGGTCACCTTCTCCTGCAAGGTCCATGGAGACCCCAAACCAAAGGTGGGAGGTTGTACAGTACATGTTTCTGAAAGAATGTCATCACCCTGAATGATTAAACATTGTTGGCGATGATGCTGCAGCGATTATTAATATTAGATAAATGTTTGGTCATTTTGAAGCTTGTATGGTGGCTTGGCTTCCTTGCTTGGGAGTTGCTGATGTGTGATGTTGATGATGGAGGGCGTAGATATTGTACATATGCTCTGTGTTGTGATAAGGGGAGGCCCTTTGCAAGAACTCACACTGGCCTGGGCTGGCTGCCTGGCTCTGTCCGCATTAATGATGTGGTGATGACAGGCTTCAGAATGAACTGATGGGGAAAAAAAGGAAAGAGATAGAGGGGAAAGAAGGATAGAGAGCAAGGGTTTTCTTCAGTTGTCCACTGATTTTAGCATGAAGGTCAGTCTGTTAAATCATAACGTGTCTGATATCTTGTGTCACAGGTCTACTGGTTCAAAGATGGGAAGCAAATCTCCAAGAGAAGCGAGCACTACAGGATCAGCCGCGACGCTGATGGGACCTGCTCTCTACACACTGCTGCAGCCTCACTGGATGATGATGGCAACTACACCATCATGGCAGGCAACCCTGAGGTGAGTTCACGGGTGCAGAGCTGGAAAAAGAAATACATCAAATGTGATAGAAAATTGATATCCACCTTTTCATAAAAGAACAAAGCAGGAGATGTAAGCGCCCATTAGCGAGAGAATAATGAGTTTCAAGATAATGTCTCCAGCCTGAAGAGGAAGAGGGCGTTGAATGAGACAGGAAATCACAAAAGCCCTGATGTGGGTCAGAAGTTCATGTGTTACAGGCTTTCTAACAGACTTTTCCAGTCGAACACTCACATTTTATTTCCTCCTCCCTGTTTGACTGCTGCTTGTGGTATGGTGGAGTGTCAACACCTCATAAGCTCTCCCCTCTCTCTCTCTGTCTCTTTTCCCTCTCACAGGGCAGGGTGAGCTGCACCGGCAGGATGATGGTCCAGGCAGTGAACCAGCGAGGCCGGAGCCAACGCTCTGCACCCGGACACATGCGCAGGTGAGGCTTCGCTGACTGACAGGAGAGGGAGAAAAGACACATGGGAATATCGACGGCGGGCACATGTGCAGCAGGCTGTTCGCCATCTGCGCGATGGCTGTACTCACTCACGCTTCGACGCAGTTCGTTATTCTGACGTAAAACGTTCCAAGAAGCTGCTGTTTACACAAATGTTTGCTGTGAGCTGAATCACAGTTTTCCCTTTGTTGAACCAAGTGTTCAAGAAAGAAAAGCTGAGCGTTAATGAGAGGGAACACCTGTTTGCTCTGTTCTGTTTTTCATTGCTCTAATGACCTTGTATATACAGCACGCATTCATTCAGGCACGGATTTTGGAAAAAACACAAAAGATCAGACGCTACTCACAGCACATACAAAAACACCCCACCTGTAATCTGTTATCTAGATGAACACTCCCTGAGCTCAGAGATGTTTTGAGTGAGAAGAGAGATCGAGATAACAATCAGTGTCTCCCACTCTCTTTCTTCTCCCTCTCTGGTTGACGGCAGAGTGGTTAGGTCACAGGAACACACATGGGTCCTGACCTGCTGTATAGAGTTGAGGAGGCTAAATACTGTGCATTTCCCTCTCTCCATCAGGCCCAGGTCCAGGTCTAGAGACAGCGGTGATGAGAACGATAACATCCAAGAGCGCCACTTCCGCCCCCACTTCCTGCAGGCGCCCGGTGACCTCATCGTTCAGGAGGGCAGACTGTGCCGGATGGACTGCAAGGTAAATACACACCTCTTACTCCTGAGAGTGCAACCTGTGCCAACATAGGTGTATGATGTGATGAAAGGAGGAAGGAAGGTCAGTGTGTTGTTGCACTGTGGTGCCTGCAACAATTTCCATATAAAACAGTTATTTACTGATTAGGAGGAAGAGACCTCTGATGACGTTTTAATGCTGAGGTTCACAGTTTTCAGTGCGTAAGATTAACTATATTTATCACAATGTGGCTTCCACTGGTAGAAGATTCATAGAAGAAGTCATCTGAGTGTGTTTAGTCCCAAAAATCGGTCAGCTTCTGCTTATTGAAGGACATTTTTAAAACTTAAAAGCAGAAAAGACAAATTATACACTAAGTTTTTCGGGCTGGGATGGCATGTCAAGCTATGAACTTTAATGTGAAGAAGACCTTTTTATACATGACCGCAATTTCAAGGCCTTTTTTTGTGGACAAGTAATGCCAAAATGTCCATCTGTACTTTAACCCTCTACAGTAAGTTCAATCGAGTGGGATCTAGAATATTATGCTTTAAGCTCCTGTGCTTCTACCGTGTAGGTGAACAAAGTGTCCGATCCATGCTGCTATTCTTTGATCAAGAGAGACGGTTCAGAATAACTGAGACATGACTGGAAAGGAAAATGCCCGCACCAAAGAGAATATGTTAATCATAGTAATAGAGAAAGCCATTTCAGACCCGCCCTTTAATTCAGCGTCTGTATTGCTTTCAGGGAGGCTCCATGTCTGCGCTGCCAAAGAAACATTTCCTTTTCTGTGCATTCCAGTTTCTGTAGGGAATAAAGAGATGACATGTTTCATCACTTCCTCGCATTACGAATGGCTCAAAGCAGACAGGGAGAATACAGAGGTGTCATTTTTCAGGGATTAAGTGGGATCAGGTTTTCTGCAATTATTTTCCCTTTGCACCACTCCCTCCACCCGCGCTCATTTTCTCTCTTTATCTCGTTCGTCATCACCTTTCTTCCCTCCAGCCGGCAGCGCTTAGAAACTCTTTGAAAACTGGTACATGTAATAAAATAAAACAGACCCACAATTAACTCACTATAAAAAGGCTGCTTTTTTTATGCTTGTCAGAAATAAACCGAGAGTCTCCATTTCTTCGGAGCCCTTAATGTCGAGGATATTTATAGAAAATATTTATTTCCAGATCATTTGTGGCTTTTCGAAACTTTCCATGCTTAAAATGTCCCAACTTCTAAAAGTGCATTGGGCCGCTTCCAGAAAGACTTCTCACTGCTTAGTCTGCTCTCCCTTGTGATATCTGAGGACTGTTGTTCATTTAACAAAACATATGCATACCCACAGTGGCACATTTTTCCAGTTGGGCAATGGGGGAAGTTTGTTTGCAGAGAGAGACGGGTCTTTTCCCTGTGCAGTTTATTCCCATGACAAAGCATGCAGGCGACCAGGCTCCTCCAGACAAACACAACGCAGACAGATTAACCAAACACTGCTGTTTTCATACTCCCAATAAACACACACTGCCCCCACAGAACACATGCAGCTAATATACTCATTTCCCCATCTGAAACAAGCACAGGCTGCACTCTGAAAAAGCGTTCACACACTCAGTGAATTCTAATGTTTGCTGTGTTCTTTGACTACGTGTAGGTGAGCGGCCTGCCCACTCCTGACCTCATCTGGCAGCTGAACGGACAGACCATCCGCCCTGACTCCTCCCATAAGATGCTGGTGAGGGAAAACGGCGTGCATTCATTGGTCATCGAGCCTGTGACCAGCCGCGATGCAGGTATCTACACCTGCATCGCCAGCAACCGAGCTGGGCAGAACTCCTTTAACCTGGAACTCATTGTCGCAGGTAAACAGAAACATGTGAAACATTAGTTGGCATCTGCACAGAAGATACATGTTGGCACGATTTGGACCAAGAAAACGCCTCGTTAAAATTGCTCTTTTCCACAGCCAAAGAGATGCACAAGGCCCCTTCGTTCGTTGAGAAGCTGCAGAACACAAGCGTGGCCGAGGGTCATCCTGTGCGACTGGAGTGTCGTGTCACAGGGGTTCCCTACCCACAAATCTTCTGGAAGAGAGAGAATGAGTCATTCACTCACAACACAGACAGAATCAGGTAAATCAAATGTGTTAAATAATGCTTTATTCATCCTGCATTTGAACCCAAAAAAGTAGATAAAAGAATATTTAAATATCGTTAAATGTTGTGTCAATTTTCTTTCCCAGCATGCACCAGGACAACTGTGGCTACCTGTGTATGATCATCCAGCCTGCCATGAAAGAAGACGCTGGCTGGTACACTGTGTCAGCCAAGAATGACGCCGGCATCGTATCCAGCACCGCACGTCTCGATGTCCACGGTCAGTTTTGACACACACACACACACACACACACACACACAGCTCAGTATTTCTTGTGTGGATGTGGCTCTTTTCCTCTTTACACATTATTAAAGCTCCCACCCTCTGCTCTACCCCTCAGCTCAATGGCAGCAGCCTAACCTCCCCAAGCCCAAGAAGGTCCGTCCCTCCACCAGCCGCTATGCCGCACTGACAGAGAGAGGGTTGGACGTAAAGGCGGCCTTCTTCCCAGACTCCAGCCCGCTGCAGCCTGGCGGCCTGGTGGAAAGTGACGACCTGTAGAGACCACCGGGAGGCACAAGGATTGGGACGTCTCCCCTCTACAAAACCCCCTGAAAGCTGCCCTTGTTCCCAGCACTCCTGAGACAAATATAACCATGTCCACCTGGGCGACTCAGGTGCAGAACTAAAGGGTCGGTGGGCAGAGCGAGCTGGTGCAGCCGTGGTTTTCATATGTTTTTATAGTATGACACAACTCATTATGTTACCGAATTCATCAAGTTGTTTCCCCGTGCTTCATTTGATCAACTGGACCTGGAAAATGATTGAAGTGGAAAGACTGTTCATAAATATGCTCTCTCATGTTTCATGAACTGTACGGTTGAATTTTGAAAAGGGTTGTCTTTTTAAGTGCCTCATGTCTGTAAAGATATAAAAAAAAAATGAAATGAAACATAGAATTACTATGCATGTTCAAGTGGTGCCATTTGAAATACACAGACTAATACTGTATCTATACGTAGCACTGCACCAACTTTGTGTAGGAGTGGGACATGCCGCAGAAGACTTAAAAAGAGACTGAATGACTCAAAGCACGGTAGCTTTGACGAAGGAGATCACAAACTTTTATTATGTGGGCTTGTGTAGCACAGTATCATACAGTCTCAGATTAGATTAGTTCACAGATTTTGGAAAAGGCCGGGCCTTACAAAGTATGTTTAGTGTTTTTTTTAGCAAAAGGAATGAGGTTTGTTTGTTTGTGGGTGCAGCAGAACTTAAGGAAGGGTGGATCTAACAGATACAGGAAGGGACAGCGACGGAATAAAAGGAGGTTTATGTGATGGACATCAGCTTTAATGTGGTAAGTTAACACTCGATAGAAGGATGTGAGTGACTGCAGCAGAGGTGAAGATGACAGTTGTGATATAGAAAAATGGAAGATATGGAAAACTTTGGTGATGGTGGGTCATATTTGTGATTTTTTTCCTTCTTCGATGGTTTATCTACAAGTGTGAATTGAAATGTTCTCACTCGAGAGGGTGCTGTGAAAAGTTTCAGTGTATTCGTCACACACATCACAGATTGTCCATTTTATTTTTGTATGAGAAAAAAAAACAACCTTTGCTTTCCCATCAATCTTGACATAAATTATATCAGCAACCTTTCGTTCACTGATAAGACAATCTTTTCTGTATCATGAAGTTTTATAAATATATTTACTGCCTTAACTCACTTTTGGGCTTAATGCAAACAATTTCTTTGCATGTTATTTTTGGACACTTGTACAGTGCCAAACAACTTTTTCCAGGATGTATAAAAGCAACTTTTTTCCCAGTATTCAGCAGTAGAAAACACTCAGCAGGTGAAAAGTGAAAGGCAAGGTATATTTATATCTACTATTTTCGTCACCTATGTAATACTATACAAAGTGGACATCTTTTTCTGCATCTGTTCAGAGCTTGCATTAGCTGACAGTTCCTGTGTTTGCACATTTCTATGCCAATCAATGCCTGTATATGGATTGTTCTCCTGATATTATTTTAGGTTATGAAAGTTAATAAAAATCAAACTCTTCAGAGACAGCGTGAGATGTTTTTATAGACTGGCAGGCTCTTCTTAAAACAATAAGAGAATGCCAGAAAACACACTATTAGTCACAGTGGAAATACCATTCTTGCTAAGAATACTAATCAGAGTACAACATAAGCTAATCCTTTCATAGAAAATACAACATTTAGGACACAAGTGCACATCAATCACAATCAAAGTTGCTCACTTTAAGTCACGGTTATGACACTTAACAGTGTGTTTCAATGACAGGAACAAGCAACGCAGCATTTCAAATCTCATCACTGAGCATGACAGTCACCTCCAACCCTATCCATCCACACTACAGGTCCAGAGCTGTAACCAGACACTCAAAACATTCCCAGAGCTAAAAATACCCCCCCACCTCCACCACTACCTCTAATTTCCTCCAGCTGCAGCCCAACATGCCTGGCCCCTCGACAGGCCCCTCCAGAGGTGGTGGGCTCAGGGGGCCGCTGGTGGAGGGGAAACATGGGCTGGCTGTGGGGGGGTCGCCTGGGGGAGGTGGGGAACAAAACATGAGGGGGCGCTTTACAGTCATGGAAAAAGACCAACAGCTTTCAATCTACTGATCAAATTTAGGACCTCAGGGCACGGAGGTCTGGACTGGGCCAGACACTCTGGAGTCAGCAATGTTAGTCATGATCGAGTGTCACACACACACACACACACACACACACACACACACACACACACACACACACACACACACACACACACACACACATCAGGCCACGCCTACTGTGGCTGGACAGAGTGACTCAGCAGAAAGACAGAGAGCAGTAGGACAGTGATCCTCTTAAAGTAACTGCCTTTTTACAGCTTGTACAAAGAGTTTGTTCTGTCCCTTCATCTTGTTCTTGAACCATTTCCTAGAAAGTCTCCAACCGCGCCTTAACCAAGACATACAATTTTCAAGAAAAGGCAGAGTGAGGCTTTCACCTGCCTCACTACTGTTGTTTTGAGACTTGAGACGACTCCAGAGGAAGGCCCCATTCTCTACATGGCCAACTGCAGCCCTCCATCCACCACCAGCACCTGCCCTGTGATGTAGGAAGACTCCAAAAGGAAGAGGACCCCCGGGGCTACTTCTTCTGGCTCGCCAAATCTCCCCAGTGGGATAGAGCGCACCCCATCCTCCTCCTGCAGCCCTGCAGTCATGTCAGTGCGAATGAAACCTGGAAGCAAGAGAGGACTGAGACATGGGAAAGACTATAAAAAGAACAAGGTGACAAAGTGAGATAGAAAAAAGAAGCAGGTGCTGAGAAGGAGAGATGGAGTCGTACCGTACCTGGAGCCAGCAGGTTTACTCTGATATTGCGTGAAGCGACTTCTTTAGCCAAAGAGCGTGTGAAACCTTCCAGACCGGCTTTACTGGCACTATAGACACACTGGCCAGCGTTTCCTCTCATACCCACAACAGAGCCTGCAAACAACAAAGAGACATAAACACAGACATGTTGTGGAAAAAAATAACAAAATGTAACTGTAACAAAAAATCTTCCAACCCATCACCATTCATCATCAAATAACTTACAGTATGCTTATTACTAGAAATAATGTAATAAGATATACGTTGTAAATCTTAAATACACCAGTATGGGCCTGTAAAGCAACACTCATAAACTCTAAAGAAAGAAGAAATCATGTGCACTGCCACCTAGTGACCAAACTGAGAACATAACACTAATCACAGAGGACACTGGATTCACTACCTATATTAACAATGGCAGCTCCCTCAGTGTGCAGCATGCTGCGCAGTGCTGCCCTGCAGGTCAGCATGGTGCCCAGCAGGTTGGTGTGAAGCAGAGCCACCATGTCCTCCGGCTTGGTTCTTAGTAACAGAGCGTCCCTACACACACCCACACACACACACACACACACACACACACACACACACACACAGTAATATAAGTCAGTGCTCTGTGCCAATATTATATCCATATCCTGTATATATGCCCATATATCCTTTTGTAAATACAGCAGAGGAGCTCACCAACACCAGCAGTGCCTGTCTGCTCACCTGTTGATGCCAGCTGCATTTACAAGATAAGAGATGTTTCCACAGGTCTTCTGGATCGTCTCAAAGGTTTTCTGCACCTCCTGCTCTTTAGAGACATCACAGCTGAGAGCCACGTGGTCGGCTGGAGAGCAGATACAGAAGGTCTCTGAGTATGTTAATGCTTACAATGTAGTCTGTTTATAGCAGCCGCTGTTACTGTGGGTATACATTTATTTTATTTTATAGCACAAAAGCACGAGATCAGTTTCTGTGTGTGAAACTGGGTGCAGCTGTCAGCATCAGATTGGTTTCTGTAGTAACTGCATTAAAAATGTTACCATTTGTTTAATTTAGTCTGGCTTCTGAAAGAAAATCCTTTGTGGCGGGAACAACGCGCACAAATGATTCTTTAATAGCTCAAATTTCAAGGCGCTTGCAGAGAAACAAGAAAAAACACAAACAAAACCAACAGTGCTTGTACAGTCCATGACTAAAAGAATGACGCAGACACATTTAATATACCTCCGTGTAAAGATGCCACAGTGGCTCGGGCAGCATCTTCATTCCTGGAGACAACAGCCAACCGGCAGCCCCTCTCTGCCAGAAGGCGGGACGCGGCCTTCCCAATGCCCCTGGAGCCTCCACACACCACTGCCAGCCTGGACATGACACTGCAGGAGACACAGACAAAGCACCACACTCACACGTACGCACGACCAGAACAGAGCTGATGATAAAGTACTGCACTGACAAATTATAATGCACACTCCATGTTATTAGGCACACCTGTACAATTCTGCTATAAATTCTACTTTAGTAGAGCCTATAATGTTCAGGTTTTGACACCGTTATAGAGGTGTTAATTCAAGTATATGTTTAGTATTGAGGTCATTGTTATTGGTGGTGTTTTACTGGACAGCAATTAGATTCAGAGGTGTTTCTATTATTCTGCCCCCCTCATGTACATACAAGTGTTAGCATCAGTCTTTACTTCAAGTACCAAAACTCAGTTAAAATACTCATAATGCAGAACGGCCCATTTCAAAATAATGTGTATTATGTTACTGGTTTATAAATGATTGAAGCATTATTGTGTACATGACTTTGACGTTGCAGCTGGAAAGATGGGATTGTTTTAATTACTTTTTATCTTATCACATCTTAACCTATTGTAAAACATTCATTTGTGTTATTAATCTGAATCTGCAAAGTAACTAAAGTTATGTAATATAATGTAATCACAAGGGCAAAAGAGTAGCACCATTAGCACCAAATGCTGGTAAATATTCAAGTTGCTGGTAGATTTGCTTCACTCACCAGCCAAAAACAACAATGGGAATCTACTGAGTGGCTGCTCAGTGTCCATGTGGAGTATAAAAGAGCAGGAAATGGTAATACTCAAGTACAAGTACCTAAAAGTTGTCTTTGAACTGAAGTACAGTACTAAATACACTTTCTTTCCACCACTGCTGAAAATAAAACATGGAAGAACTCAAATGAGATGGACAAAATACATTGAATGCGCCCTACAGTTAGCACAGAGCACATGAATGGCTATGTCAGTATTGTATGTCACTAGGTTTATTATTAAAGGAGGCAATAGACAAACTCAGGATGAAAGCTAACATTACATTAAAGGTCATTTTGCTCTCTGGTAATGTTACAGTTAGATAACTACGACTGTATTATAAAGTTTATAGAGCTAGCTGTAACTTACCTTATTTATTGTTAGTTATCTAGTCGGACAAGACTTGTTCCTCTTTAAATAAGTTTATTGGTTAGAAAAAAGACTGAATATCAGCAGAGCGGAGGCTCATGGACGTCGCCATGTTTCTTCTCAGTGTTGTTGCGCCGCTGGTCTTTGGTCGGTAGATGGCGCCGTGGACGCACAGCGGCTCACTGTGCAGGACGGGTCGATGCTTTTCATTTAGTCGAGGTCTGTTTTGCTGTTTTTGTGAAAGCCTCTTGGCAGCCAAAGTACATGTTAATATTTCTCCACTTGAACAACACAACAACCTCACACTGTCTCCAGTCACCAGTTCACTTGTCATTTAAAGACACCAGTATAAAAGGCCAGTAATGGGTTACTGTGTTTGACAGCTGGGAGATGGAAGCAAGGACTAGCAAATGACTTGAACTGCAAAGGTCATCACTACAGAAATATTGTGCATTTATATTACTGCTGCTGGAAGTCTTTAGTGACCTTATTGTACATGTTGGTAATTAATATTCCTCCCATGTCTTTTCAATATGAAGGCTACTGTTTGATATTTGCCCAAGAATACTCTTATTTCACAGGAATAATTACACTTCTGTCCGAGTTAACTTTTAGGAGATTAGTTATTTATACTGACAGACCCAGAGCCCTGCACACTGAAATAGCTCACCGATTTTTAATAGCAGTCATTCATTCTCCTTTTTGCTTCATGTATCATTGTTCTCCGTGGGGACATATTTCACCAGGAAAGCAAAACCTTCACTACTGGCGTTAAAAAAAGAAAAAAGGTGAGTGATGTGGAGAGTGGGTGGCCTTGGTCTACACCTGGACGGCCCATCAGACCAAGACATTGTGCAGGATGGATTTGCTGAGGAGGTTAAATCACATTCACAACCTGTGCTGGAGTGACACCGAGCCGTACAGCATGAATCATGTCCACACTGCGGCAAACAAATGCAACCACCACAAACTGTATAATTAGCTTATTCAATTCAATTCAATTTTATTTGTATAGTGGCAATTCATAACAGAAGTTATCTCAGGACACTTTTTAAATGGAGCAGGTCTAGACCGAACTCCTTATAACATTCACAGAGACCCAACAGTACCACCATGAGCAAGCATGGGCATGAGCTTAAAATGTTTTTACTCTTTACAACAGTGTTCTTCACTAAACTGTATTTGTCTGTGTGTCAGAGAGAGAAATAGACCTTGATTTGTATTCAGATCACCTTCCTGAACGCCAAGATTTTATTCCCCTCTTTCACACTGTAGTGATCTAATGATACCTGCCTACAGAGCCGTATATTGCTCTCACTCACAAGATATGTGTCTGTAATCCTTTACACGCATGTACACACAATATTAATTCTTAGTATTTCTTGTCTACTGGCTTTCACGCATATTCACTGAGCCTCGGTTCAGACCTGCATGACAAAAAAATGTTTCATTGAATTTTTGGGTATATTTGTAATGAAGGTAAATTTATTTTACTCATTACTATAATTGAACCATCTAAACTGACTGGCATGTTCAAATTTTGTTTGAGTGAGTGAGTGAAGTGAGGACATTTTCTTGAATAATGGTCGTTGTGATTTCTCTTTGAATACCAATGCATACTGAAGCCATAGTTTGTTATCTAGTGCAGTAAAGAGTTCAAGAGGAACTTGACCAACACTTCTTTCACAGAGCGTCTCAAACTGGCCGACACACCCCGAGCTTTAACATTATCAAGAAATTCTTGACCTTGAGACTCAATTTCTGAACCCTTGACAACCCTTCCAGCTACGAGTATTGACTTTTTACCAACACACTATACACATAACTTGTCCTACATTTACTCACATTAGTCATTCAAATATCCACCTGTCACAGTCACATTAAATCAAAACATGCCAAGGACTATGAAACTAATGTGATTAGGTCAGACAGAATGGTTTAAATATACATACTATTTGCTCAGTAGGGTCTGCTCATACATTGGAATAACCTATTTCCATGGTAACCCATCCTCTGCAGGGAACTGTGTGCAGCACAATGACCTCTCTGGGTGCTTGTCAGTTCCTGTCAGTGTTTCCCAGCTGAACACACTGGGTAGACTCACCTCTCGTTACAAAACTCTGCTCTTCTGCAAGAACCATTTATTCCTGGAGACATTAATGACCATGCGTTCCCTGACTTACCCCAGATACATTTAATTAGTAACAACTGTCTTCTTTACTGTTCATTTATCATATGCGTGTACACATTCAGTCAGAACTGTGCATCTTAGCCATCCAAGCTTTGGGGTGGGGGTAGGGGGAATGGGGCAAAGGGAGGACACGAGCACTCAGTTCTGTCAACAGCAGTCTATGTCTTTGATAATACTGCTGGTTAGACAGTTCTGCCCTGGCAGCAAGTGGCCAACGTAACACAAAGTCACTGGAGAAAACAGAGGGAAATAGAGCACTGCATTATTGTCATGAAGAAATGACTTAGCCTGAGGAAGTTATGGAAACCATTAGCTTTTATTGTTATAGAGATTTTTACAAAATGTGCTATTCCCTCAAATACTTCAGAATGTTTTTTCACATAATAGACTTGTGCCAAATAAGTTGATTTCAGTTTCACCATTTTCAGACAAACAGACTAACTACAGACAAAAAGAAAAAGAAAAAAAAAAAAAAAAAAATCAAGTAAGTCACCTTGGCATGAGGAAAATCTGTTAGGTTGAGTCAAGCAAACATATATGTTGCCATGTGTTGCAATAAATGAAAATATAGTTTAATGCTTCATATTTTGAGAACTGTGCAGCCTATGCATGTACAATACGTACCAGGAGTCAGTATGATTTAGAATCTTATCATAGTGCATAAATGTGTTACATCTTTGTTGGAGTAAGTTGATGTGTATATTAAAAGGCTTACCAGTGAAATGAAAAGACACTCAGAGGAAGAGTATAGCATAGAGCCTGAGGTTGGTGTGGTGATTGCCAAGACAACAATGCAACATTTCAGATTAATTCTACATAAGTACCAATTCAGAAAGACAAAAAAAAAGGCCCTAACAGTGATTTGTACCATCCTTTTCCATACTCTCTTCCAATTTAAACAAACTACAATATATTCCAGCAGTCAGTTACACAGTGGTCCCCCTCAATTAACATCAAAAACACACAAAAAAAAAAACCACACTTGAAACTATGGGTCCAATTCAGTCAGTAAATTCATTCTCAAAGCCAAATTTGGCACGATTCAGTGATTGCCTCGACTTTAAAGTGTTTAAATACCCCCTCAGACCTCACAGTGATTATGTCACATTACATTAAATGCTGTGGGGTCCACTGAAGCAGGAGGAGTCAGTCTATAATGCTAACCAATAATTAACCTTTACTCTGGAGAATTTCATTCATCTATCCAATGTATTTATGACACATCAACGTATTTGATCTGATGTAATAAACTGGGTGTCATTCTCCAAAGTGTTGATTCTAAAACTGCCTATTCTTTGCGGTATGTTTAAGCACCAAAACTACAACCAAATCCCCTCGAATCACAAAGAAATCTTACAGTCATTCAAGTCAATACAACACTTAACATTAAAACCATTGTATAAACGTAAAGTACAACAACCCATCCATAAAAAAAAGAAAAGAAAATCAAGGGGGTCAAAGTGATTGATTTAAATAAAACCTTATCTTTTGAGGTTCATCAGAATTACACTACACATCTCTTCCTGTGGAGTGATACAATGATATGTTACTTTAGGCAAACATTCTGTGCTTTAGCTAGCTGTGTTTTTATTGCCACAAGTCACATTAGGAATGAGTTATAGTGTACAAAAACTGAGAGCTTGCTGAAGGGTGAGTGTGGTCCTGTGTCCAAGTTAGTTATACGACAGATTCTTTAAGAGCAGCAGGTGTCAGCCTCTGTGGAATTTATAACGAACATAAATATACACTGAAAAAGAATCTGTTGTGCACTGTTACTGAAATGTTATGTCGCTCTTGTGTTGTAGAGCTACGTCTGGGTTTGGCTATTTGCCGAGGAGTTAGGAGACAAGCTACTCTGGTCAGTAAATACAAAGAAGGTACAAAGTAAGCAATATTTGACTGCAGAGTCTATCTTGGAGTGTGTTTCCCGCATATTAAAAAGGCATAACCGAACAGTCCGGCAACACATCTATCACCACTTTGTCTACTGCAGAAGGCTTTGCTAATCACATGCAAATGTTCGATGGCTGAAGGTAACAGTCCTTGACACTTCAGCCTCAGCCACACCGGAAGAAAAAGGCCTGTGGATGGCCCAGAGAGATACTTTGTGATGTGCAATGTTCACATGGCTGTGAACTGTAGCTAGAGTGCTCAAACGTGCAATACGGCAGATCTCTCTGCTGATCCTCAGGTTTTGGTAATGCCTTTAGAACTGCAGAAGTATCTTTTTTTTCTCCTACTGTACAGCACAGCTGATGATGATACTGCTCATTTGTTCTGGTCTGCTGCATCTGATTTACCTACTCCTATCTGCTGACAGTTTGAAATAATGGTAAAACTTCAGCAGTCAGAGGGAGAAATGTAGAACTGATGTGGTAATATATGGCATAAGGCATGTGCCAGCTTAACCCTCTAATGTGTTGCACTATAGAAATGCCAATCTATGAAATAAGTTAAAATGTGTAATATATCTATATCAACAGCTCATATTGGTTGTTTTAGGACTAATCATCTTTGTGTCCTTATGTACAATAAAGTGAGGAACAGTACAAGGCACACATTTAACAGCTGAATTGTTACAAAGATATAAATAACAAAAAGGAAAAGTTCATGAGTAGTGTGCTCTCCTTTTACTCTGTCCACTGTGCTTTCAATGTCAACATAATCTGTTCTTCTCTGCAGCTCTCTCTTGTGTGCCACTAGCGTTCTTTTTCAGTGACCAGAGCCGCAGTGGGCTCTAAGGAGCTCAATTGTTCATGTGATGGTCCCGTCCCAGCAGCCTTGCGAGTGCTGATCCGTTCAGTTTGCACGGTAACACACTGTAGCAAGGCTAGCAGCAGTCAGCTGGGTCACGTTTGTGGTGACCGTGGTTCGCTGTAGTGTGTGAATTAGATGCTGTCTACAAAGCTGCCAGGGAACAGTCCGGTCCTTCCGTTCCTCTGCAGTGTGCCTTTGAACCAGCCGTCTTCCCTCTTTCTGTGAACAAACACAATGTCGCCCTCCTTAAGTTCCAGCTCAGCCTCGCTCTGGGGAGGATATGATACCACCACCCTGTACCTGGGGAGGACAGCCAGAGGCATATTCAGTGACTACAACAATGACAGCTGATAAGTCATGATACCATTGATATAGTGTTACACTTTCTATGAACAAGACAGATAAGCAGGAGAGTCACAAACAACGACATGTAACAGAAGTCAATGTACCTCTCACATATGATGGGCCGTGCGTCATGTTGTTGAGATAAGAGAGAGGAGCACGGCTGGCGAGGAGGAGGAGCAATAGGTGCGCATCCATCCAGAGGACTGCTCTTCCGATGGGAGGACTCTGGGGCTGAGGAGGAGGATGAAGAGGCAGAAGCGACAGCAGCAGCAGGTTCAGGCTCGAGGCAGCTGACAGAGCCGGATGGTGGGGAAGTGTCAGGGCCCACTGCGCCATGAAGCCCCTCTCCAGCAGCAGCCTGTTCCGCCTCAAGGGTAGGAGAGGAGGGTGGTGAAGGACGAGACTTCTTCTTATTGGAGGACAACAGCTTCAGAAGACTTTTCTTTTCTCTCTGTGGCAACAACAAGCGTGTTTTGTTTTTTTTGTTAGAGAACTGCAACAACTCTTGAGGCATTGAGGCACAAGTCATTTTCACAAACCACAGACAGGTATATTCTAGTGCCTGGAACTGGCTGTCTTTACCACTGACACCCACAAATGTGGTAGGAGAGATTCCTATTCTTAGCACAGACATGTTTTAAACTGAAGGTTAGAAATCATGGCCACTGTCTGTTTGCAAAAGACAAAACAAATGACAGAAAGACAGAAACAAACTGTGCATTAATAATAACCTCTTATTTGATTACCACTGGTGAATCCTGTCAATGTGATTAGCAACCTAACAAACATCATAAGGAATCTCAGACACTCCAAGGCAATACAATAATCTGGCAAGTTAGGCAAATACGCTAGAACTAAAGACAGATTCTCCACAAAACAAACAGAAAATAGCAACAGAAATATATCATTAAAAACAGATACTGTTAATTAAGCTGAAGTAAATATTTAGACATATCCAACCTTAACGTCCTTGTCCAGTCGGCAAGCGAGAGCTGTGCTGTTCGACGTGGGATTGAGAGCGCTGTTCATGGGGCCGACTGGCACAGTGAGGATAGGTACAGGTCTCAAAGCCTCCCCCTCCAAGGATGCAGCGCTGACATTGGGTGGGGTCAGAGAGGCAGCGGCACAGCCCATTGCCACTCCAGCCCGGGTACAGCCTTGGGCAGGACCGGAGGAAGGCTGCGAGCACACTGCAAGGTGTGGGAGATAGGTTACAGGTGTTGCAGACTGGATGGGTGTCACAGCTGCTGTAGGTCGGTCCTGACTGTGACATGCAGCTGCAAATGGGACACATAACAATATTACACCTTTAAAACCCCTTTCATACAACAATCCATATCCATTTCCACTCACAGTACATTTACCTGTTCTGACCGCATTGCGGGCCTGATTTACAGTCATCTGGGAGCTGACGTGCAAAGGGCCTTTTGGCTGTTGACCTGTGGCTGTTTGAGCTGCCGTTACTGTAGCTGCAGGCTGGGAGTTGGTGGGTACAGCGCTAGAGCCCACGGTGATGGGTTTGTTGAAATCGGGACCTGGAACAATGGTCGCAAGAGGTGCAGATGAGGGGCTTACAATGGTGATCCCTCTGCCAGCCTGAGTGCACAGACTCATGGGCACTTTGGGCTGGGTGCTCCCTGACGCAGTCCTGGGGGGAGAGGACATACACATGGAAAGCGTTTTAATGTAAAATATTTGAGATGACTGTGCAACTATAATTGTTTTGAATTGATTCTGAAATCAATATGGACATTTTTCTGATCTTCTTCCAAAACTATTTTGGTATGATATTAGTAAATATATTGTTTACTTTATACAAGTTATCTTAAAAATCAGGTCGAAATAATTAACCTATGGCTATGCATCAAAGACAAAAGGATGTGAAACCAAGTCATGCATGAGTGTAGAGTATGTTGACAATAATAAATGACTGACCTGCTGACTGGGCTCATGTAGTTCCCAGGGAAGACTCCAATCTTGCCAGTGTGCATGGAGGTGCCCTTGAACCAGCCGTCCTGACAGCGTTCCAGCACCAGAAACATCTCTCCCTTCCTCAGTTCCAGCTCATCCTCCTTACGGGGAGTATAGGGGAACATTGCCACATAGCTAGATCCAAGAACAAACAGTAAACAAAGATGAGGAATTTAACAAGCACGCGCACACACACGCGCACACACACGCGCACACACGCGCACACACACACACACACACACACACACACACACACACACACACACACACACACACACACACGGAGCAACAAGAGCTAACGCTGAGGATTTTCTCCCTTATGAAAATAAAAGCAGTTTAACATTTTGTACAGCCTGCCATTTGTTCTGGAATTATCCCGCTGCTTAGCTCTACATCTGTCATCATCTCCTCTGAGACCCTCCAGTAGAGACCGTGCCCTTTGACCCGGAGAAAATCAGCACTGGAGGACAAAACAATTTGCGGGTCATCTCTGTACAGCAGTGTGAGAACAGGCCTGGAATGGCAGCCAAGGCGATAGGAGTCTCAGCTGGGATGTTTTCAGTCTGATTTCAATGTTGTCAGGCGGGAGGGAACCTAAATGCCTTAGAGTCTGACATGCACACACAGGCAGACACAGATGACGGCAGGAGAGCAGGCATGAGTGGATCTAATTCTTATCAGGTGTGTGGTGTCTTGGAGGAGTAATGAGGGTAAAGGTGAGCGTGTCAAAAGTCAGGGGTGACGGAGAGGATCTCAGATGGGACCCAGGAGACCATCATCCACAGGTTTTGACCCCTTCAACCTGTGCACATGCTCACAGTTTGCAGCCTCACCACTGACAGCTGAGGGGGTCACAGACAGGCAAAGACTTCCCCCTCTGAACAGCATTTGCATTAAGGCCCTGGGCCATCGGTACGCAAACCGCTTCTGACATTTCACTGCACATTTAAGAAGACTGCATATTTTTGTGTGGGACTGTTTTTATAACTCACACTGTGGGTCTTTGTCTCCCACTTTGGTCACTTATGCTGGGGGAGGGCCTCTGTCCGGCAGCCAATGAATATGCTGCTCCATCAACAGAGGACTGTGGGGGAGGAGGCGGGGGCGGTGGGAGAGCATCCTGTAAAAGAAGAATAGAAAATCATATTAGCAGTTAGATAGGATCGATGTCTAATTACAATTTCTCAATGATTCATTATTCATTTCCTCTCAGTTCGAAGCACAAAGTCCAAAACAAGTAATACAAGCCTCAAAAAAACAGTTTGTTTATGAGCAACAAAAAGGGAAAGAGAATGAGAGATCATCTGTCATCTGGGATATTCCCCCCGGTTTGCCGACACTAAGGGAGAGTCTGGTTTGGCAGACATTATAGTCTTGTCCCTGACTTCCCCTTGCAACTGAGAATTTCCTATTCTGCTTGTTTATTTGTTGCTAGGAGACCACATAGTTAGAATCCATTGCAGTATTTAATTGGGACCATATGAAATGAAAAACATGTCAGTAGACACACTTCAGAGCAACCCTCAAACCAAGCATGAGTGGATTCATCTTGACTCACTTGTTTTCCCATGTTGATCTTCCGTAATGTCAAAAGAGACTCAAGCTTTTGACTGGAGTCTAATGATCACAACAGGCTTTTAGAAGAGCCCTAACATTTTCTGCCTTTTGTGTGCTACTAGATTACAGGATAAAACAAAGTTACCAACCTGCTATGTCAACATAAAGCACATGAAAACAACATAACACTACACACATTTTTAGAAACTGTGAGAAAGCAAAAACCCAAATGAGTCCACAGTATGTGAGGATGATGATGAAAGACAGCTCCTGCTCCTAGGAGCAAGACGGGTCTTCCCAAGCTCAACATTGCCAGCACTGAGCAACAGAGTAATAGCTTCCATGACACAATGGTGGAGGAGAGTGGCAGGAGACAGCCCTGTGGTATGTGTACAGGCCTACGTGTATGTGTGAGTGTCGATGTACGTTTCGGTTCACTGCTGACGCTTGAGCTGAGATAATTAGGTTGCCTGCGGGCTAGAGAAATCATCTGTACAAAAACATCATGTAGGGTTCCCAAGTGAAGCGGAGAGCTCAACCTTTTGTGTACACATTCCTGCTCATTCAAAAACTCCACATGCCAGAGCATACACACAGACAGACAGGAAGTATGCCTGCTGTTTTGTGTGGACTGAAGGGATTTCTTGACATATTTAGTTGTACTGATTTTTTTCTCCCTTAGCAGAAACATGTCAGAAACAAGTTAATTTAAACTTCCAAGATTCCACCATGTTGCTATCTTTATGGAGTCTGTTTACAAATTGTGAAATAATAAAGCTACTGTATCTTATTTGACATAAGATCCAGATTAACAAAGTTTCACATCTGCACAGCCTGAAGTAACTATGTTACTTGTTGGCAGCTGATGGGAAGTGCCATGAGGCCAACTTTCTCATCTAAACAAACTCATCCTCTCAGGGGAAAGAAAATGTTTTGAAGGGAACATTACCATGTGCACTGGTTAATTTAAACCCATGTTTATAGATAATTTTGCATTGTACAGAATAACGCTCACACAATTGAGTCAACTGTCTAAACAAAATACAGTAAAGAACAGTGTTTATGGAAAAATTTCAATTTTAAAATGTGTATTTTCTTTGGCTTCAGGCATAGTGACATCCAAATATATTTATATAATTTATTCTGTTATTCCAGGAATAGTAACATACTCAGTTTGAATCCATTACTCTAATGATGTTGCACTGTTTTGCTTTTGTATGTCAAGATTTATAAGACCTAGAGGATGGGTAGAGGATTCCACCTACCACAGGGATGGATGTGTAGCTCGTCTCCGAGGGAAATGTGAAGACTGTTGCTGTAGTTACAGGACTACTAGGGGGTGGGGTCACGATTAGTCCAGTTGTGCAAATGTGTACCTGTCAACAAAAGGGAAATGTTGACCATAAATATACCATAATGAATCCAATGTATAGGTCGAGCTCCACTCACTCATGAAAAATAAAAATGTGCTAAAGATATTCTCCCTCTCTCCTGTCATACTGTATGTAGATGACTCTCACAGTCAGAATTGTATCTGTTGTCTTAGCCATAACCACACTGGTGGTCTGATGATCTGACTGGCCAATGAAAACCAGGTGACCACCCAGCAAGACATTTGATTGGACATGTAAAGTAAGGTGGCTTCTCCAACCAGTCATCCACGTGAGTCACGGCGGTGTCCTGGTAACAAGGCCATACTGTTGGACACAGTATCTCCCTGTAGCCTGTGGTCTGTCTCCATGCATGACTGCTCCAGACAGAGCCGCCTCTTAAGGTGAACCTTTCAGAGAGGAGGCAGGCCTCAGATTCAATCTTCACTGCTTCCTTATCTATTGTTTGCTGGGTGTGCCAAGGGAAAGCCGAATGTAACAGTGTGCTCAAAGGTGACACTGTTAGTGAAATGGCTGCCTGGAAACTAATACACAACACTATAGTACAGGGCAGGTGTGTTATGCTAATTCTAAATACATATTTCCTTTACAATTTGGGAAGAATGCCATCAACAGCAGCCTGTTTTTTTTATTCATGGGCAATTCTTCCTCATCTCGTCTATTGCACTGTTAGATAAGAGGTGTGCTCATTTCCAAGATGTGGTCTACTCAGCCCCCTCGGCAACTGGGGCTTACCTTTGTTGTTTATTGTCTGGGTGTTGGAAGAAGAGAAGACGAGTAGAGGTGAAGAGGGGGAGAGGAGAGAAAAGAGGCTGTGCATACAGTGCCTGGAGAGTCTGTATTGTGTTTTTATTAAACACTGGGATCCGTAAATCAAACGTATTGTTATCCCTGTTGTCACTGGGGAGGATCAGTTTACGGGCGCAAATGCAAGTTTCGTTTATTGTGAAAGTATCCTGATAATGATTTGTGGGAAATGTCTGGAGTCATTAAAAACGATGATTACACCTTCCGCATGGATAGAAGTCTTTGATGATACATAAATCATATCTACATGAAAGGTTTCAGTTTGAAAAAAGACAGAACTTCCTCAACATCCACTTTACTGTAGACAAGCTCTCTCCTCGTCTCCCTTTCACAACGAAGCACATGAACACATACGCTGTAGATGAAAGATTGATGACTGCGCTTAATTGGGAGTTTTAGAACATAGCATTTCAGAGAATCTGCAGTATCCAGACAACACCGAAAGTACGTTCAAGTGAGAAAATAAATAAAAATACAGAAAATAAGAGAATAACTGAGTTGGCTACAAGCTTCCAGTACCTCAAAGTGGGACAACAATATGGATGCCGGTGTATACAATATGAAATCTGTCTCAGAATATTGACAAATCACTAGCTCTTAATAGACTGGCTGTGGCTTACTGGCTTTACCAGTATTACACAGTGTTCGGGCATACACCTATTTCATTACTTGCCTACCGCCATCGTTTTCCATTTAACAATACTTTGGATGCTATAATTATTAACTCAAAGTGTCTGCTCTGTACAGCAGCAGCACCAATACTGTTTTGCTCCGTCCTCCTGCAGTGGAATCAAGCAGTTAGGCTATATTCAGACCAAATCAGGCGTTATGTGGCGGTGTGAGCATATTTTTTTGTGCTTTAAAACCTAACCACTATAAAACAATTTCAAAAGAAAATAACTTTTCTCTGATTTACTGACACTCGATCCCCTTGTTCACTCTGGGCCATTCGAGACAATGCCGGAGGATTTGGTGTCAAAGCAAAAAGCAAAAGGCAATATTTCAGACTTAAACCCAATGCTAATAGAGAACCTGATAACGTTAATGAGGCGATCTGTAAACTTTGTCTGATGAAAGTGGAAGCATCTGGAGGCAACACCTCTAATCTACACACACCTTCAAGGGCACCACAAAAGTGAGGCTACAAAAATGATGAGATCAAAGTAAGCGCTTTACAAATATCAGTGTTGGTTTCATACTGATTACTTTAAGAAATTATTCCTGTAGGTAAGCTCTTCTTGCAGTACAGTAATGTAATGAGATGTTGTCAACTCGAGTAACGTTATCTTTACTTCAACAGTCTCTCCTCTGATGTATTTCACCAAGTCCCACCCTGGGTTATTGATGTCAATGACTGGAGTGTAATTCATGTAAACTTGTGACACTGGAGTTGCTACCTGTTTATTAACCTCATGATGTCATCCTTTAAAAACATTTAGATAAGAAAGGAAAATAGCCAGTTATTGTGTGAACATGCCATCCATCACTTAAGATAAAAACAGAGATAGATTATCTAATCCTACCTAATCAGACTTAATGCTTGTTCTCAAAGTTCTGGCAACACTGGATGTGAATCATTGACAGAAGGTTGAACGATTAATTACTTAGTTTGACAGTACACTGTTAAGTTAGTACTATTATATTGCTCATTATGAGTTAAAGTCATAGAGAGCCTCAGACTAAGATACATCAGCAAGTCATTTATCTTGTAAATCTGCATGTCTGTTGTTCTGGCTGTCTAACACCAAGTCAAAGCCAATCTCCAGCAACTTGCAACTATAAAGCAGCTGTGAGTTCCTGTCATGTCGGGATTGGTGTGGAAACCTTGAGGGCTAAGCTGGAGTCGTTTTTGCGGACGAGTGGAGTCACGCATCCATGATTTCAAACGCTTGGATGGAGCAATGGCCTGTTTGGTATGATGGGGGGAAAGGGAAGTCAGCCTAATTGCTGACAGAAGGAGAGTGGAGCCTTTGAAAAGCAACAAACATCTTGTGAAAACAAAAACGGCTGAAGGAGGACCCGAGCTTTCCAGTTGCATGACAGTGCATAGTGTTTTATGATTTTGCACTTAAATACCACTGAACATCTCATCCAGTAGATGCATCAAAGAATATCACAAAGTGCACACTACATGGTCTATAAGCAACATAGTGACAGTACATAATAATGTACGTGTTGCACATTTCTCCATTGTGTGTGTAAGAGCCGCATCCTCCTACGTACTGCTGTACATTATGAAAAAAAGACAACATCCTATAAAAGGCCAAATGGAACTTATTTGTCATACTGCACACTTCTGTGAATGAGCTTTCTGTCTTTAGTCAACACATTAAGTACAACTTTTAGGAAGGGACCGGCAATGCAGCAGCTGCTCTCCTTGCACCTCTACCTTCCCGTGGAGTATCTTACCTGTGAGGGTGCGCTGCAGGAAAGCCCCCCACTGATCTCTCCAATTCGGGCAGCTGCTGTGGGGTTGCTGGAGCTGATGAGGACCGGCCCGCTGATCTCCATGGAGTGCCGCTGGGGGGGAGGAGCTAGCATGGGTTTGTGGGACATGGTGAGAGAGGTGAAGGAATGTCGCTTCTTGCTGTTCTTCTTCTCCCCTGCCCGCTGAGCACCATTGCTCTGGGGCCCCGAGGAGGCCCCCTCACCACAGTCTCCATTGGAGTCTGATGGCTTGTCCAACTCTATAAGCTGCCGAGCTGCCGAGTTGAACTGCGAGAGAGGAAGAGAGGCACGGGGCAATAAAGAGAGAGTAGTAAGGTGGAAATAACAGATGGAGGGGAAGGAGTGGTAGAGCTGAGAGCATTAAAATGATCATGAAAACTGTCACTCTATAATAAAGGTGATTGTCATGGAAGACCTCTATCTTTATCTAGTCAGTAGAGATGGTGAGCAGGTCTATCAGATGGTTGATGGTTCTAAGCTAGCTCTGAAATAGCGCTTCAACAATGAATCGTTTGTTAACTATTAAATTACTTTGCACCTATTTTGATATTTGATTAATCGATTTACATACTTATTTAAATAAACGGATATTGTTTTTAGTCCTCTATGACAGTAAACTGAGTATATTTGGGTTGTGGACAAAACAAGACATTTGAAGACGCCATCTTGGTCTTTTCTGACATTTTATAGATCAAACAACGAATTGATTTATCAAGAAAATGAACGTCATATTGTTAGTTGTAGCCCTACTCCGAAAGTGCAGGCTTTGATGACCCTGCCAGGCACCTGTAAGGTTAAAATCAAAGGGAGAACACTAAAAAGGTTTCAGTTAATCACAGGGCGCTCTCACTTGCTGTCACACGTTGCCCCAAGCAGCTCCCTCTACTTAAGACATAAAAGCTAAGCATTTCACTCCAATCCAGGAAAGAGCCTGTGTAGGTTCATCACTGACATGTCAGCACATTAAGTCAGACATGCAGAATTAAGAACAAAAATGTAAAAAAGCAACCTTAACCCCTCAATTTAAGACCACCTTTAAAAGCAATTGTAGATTATTGTAACAAAAGTGCCAACAAAAGTTGTTAAGGCAATTAAAAATCATTGACCTAGGTTTTCACTTTGGGTTGCTCTATACGTTTGTGACAGTGGTACATCCTTTGCAGTTTTGTTATGAAACCCAAACATCAGTGCATACTATCTAGTCGGAGGACGACAAGATTCTATTCTGCTCCTGCTGTGCAACAAAACAACGAACAAAACAATGTATAGCTTTAGATATAGTCTGCATTCTGCTTCTGCAAAACCCTCACTCAGTGTATAAAAATATGAATATAAAAATGGAGAGAATACAAATGAAAGAAATAAAACTGCCAGCTTTTTTTAAAGCTCTTTTTTAGACTAATCAGAAAACACTTCAATCCACTGTCTTTTTTGCTTGTTTATAATATTCATAACAATAGAACGCACAATGCCACACTGACAACTTTTAAATGAAAAATGAAATCATCTTTAGAAGGACAAAAGATTTACTTCATTCTGTCTGAATTATTCCTAAAGCTTTTAAGTGAGACCTGTGGAGCTCAGAGAGGGAGAGACTGTGACTGTGTCTTCAAAGACATGTTTAGTGGTTGTCTGAAACGTATTTCAAAAGGAAGACGAGTTATCATACACATTTTGCAAAACATATAAGGAAAAAAGACAACGTTCAAAGCAGCACTTTGACACTTTGTTGATCTTCATGTTGCACCTACTCCACTAATGATTGGTGACATTTTGACATTAAAGAATCTAGTTTGTTTTCTTACCTCAACATATGAGATGGGAAAAATTCCAATTTTATCTCCCAGCATTCCCTCTGCCCAGTTTTCATCCACTCTGCGGATCACAGTCAGGATATCATCCTGAAATTCAAGAGGGAGAGGGGCGCTGCATGAGATAGAACCTAATTAAGGATGCAGCTAACTAAGAGTGTTTCTCATCCTCGAGTAACAAACACTGAACAGAAATAATGAGGTAGGGACAATGTTTTATTAAAGGGACATACCCAAGAGTAACAACACTGGAGTCTGAGGCATGGCATTCGTTTGGAAAACTACTTAGTAAGCTTATTTCTGTTTTTGCTCATGTGGCATATAAACAACTGATGACAGAATACAAAAACATCAAAGTATGACCCAAACAGCTGGACAGACATAAACACTCAATTACTGTAGTTAAAGCAGTGCCTTGCTCTGTATGGCATACATTCTATTCAGCTTAATTACAGTTGTTCATCAAGAAGCCTGGCTCAAAATATAAACCTTTTCTCTGGGCGTTTCAGTTAACAGCCCTGACATTCTAACACATGCATAACTTGAGAAAATGAATGCTTACAAGACAGAGTGTCACTGTAATGAGAGGTATTTTTGTTTTACTACAGCGACCGCGTGGCAGAACTGTGGGTGTTACAGTGCTACTGTGTTTCACCTTGGAGAAGGGCAGACAGTCCTTGTCTGCCTCCTTGTCTTTGAGCTCAAAGTCATAGAGAGCTTTGCACTGAGGTGGTGGTTGTGGCAGCGGCTTGATGACCTGGACAAAGTTGGTGGGGAAGAAGCCATGGACTCCTCCCATCTCCCCGTGGTACCAGTTCTCATCCACTTGCCGGCGCAGGATGATAATGTCACCCTTGCTGAACTTGAGGTCTCCTGGTTCCTTGCCATCATAGTTGTAGAGCGCCTTAGCACAAGGGAGCTGGGGTACACCCTATAAACAGAGATTGAGAGTAAGATGTATAATGTATTCCAATTCTGTACTACATACTAATTCTAACCAGTCATCACTTTGTAATGGATTCACATTGAAAAAGGGGACAAAATGAAGTGTTGGTATGCATACTAAATTTGCTTGTGAAACAGAAATGGAGCTGTTCACAGCTTTTTAAAAATTAGAACAAATTGCAATTAATAGAAAGACAGCTCTGGGGGGGGAAATTTGAACCAGGAAAATAAAATAAATGATCAAAAAAGATATTCAATTTAAAAAAAGAACTGGGATTAATGCAACATAAATCAAATTTTTCAGAAAGATACTGGAGTGGTGCTACAGAACACTGAAATGGAAAATATCCAAGCTATGGCTTAAAGTGTTACTGTAACAAGCTTGACAACGGTCCATATAAAAGCCATCAGATTTCAAAACAGTGTTCATAGTCAGTCTTGTCACCCCTGAATTAACTAGGGAAATGAAATTAGTATTCTTTTGGACACTACAAAGAAAAAAGGATCTGTGAGTGCATGTTTCTACAGAGACAGTAAACTGTCCTGTTTGTTTCCTGATAGTGAAAAGATCTATGTTGTGTTCACAGTTTAAGTGTGATGAGCATGGCTGGTTGTGACTAGCTGACTAGGGCACAGGGATCTGTCCCTTTATCTTGCAGGGGAAGGTTTTATATCTCAGCCTGCTAGCCTGGAGTCCTGAAAGGCCCATTCAGGGAAATGACAATCCAGGGAAAGAGGGACAGCGAGTGGGGGGGAGTAGCAGGATAGAGAAGCATCAATGTACTCCATTCAGGGTGGGTGTCCATGAGGAAGGCTTCAGTCCAAACCAACCCCCCACTATTTATCCCACTGCTGTTAGGCATCATTCGCAGTGATCAGAATCACAAACACTACTAACTGACTGGATCTCATCTCTGGAACTGAAACTGTGGAGTAGACAAGAAATATAGACAGTGATAAGAAAAATGGCTAGAACGTAGGCAGATACTGGGAGAGTGAGAAAGTGAGCCAGAGAGAGAGGGGTTAAAGCAGAGTTTGGAGCAGGCTCTGCAGTCTTGTTAAAGGCTAATGAACCGTTTAAAGGCTCAGAGGAGAATAAAAGTACAGAATGAGCCGTGATGGTGAGCCAGGGTGACATTACCCTGCTGCAGAGAATCACAGAGCCTAAAGCACAGAGCCAATCGGTCTCTGGCTCTGCTGGTCCAGCCTGTGGGGAGAGAGGAGTGGGAGGAGGGGTACTGCAGCCCCCTGCACACTGCACTGGAACTGGGCCTCCTTTCAGGGGAAAACAGGGCTTTTGAGCCCACCCAGGCCTGGCAGGGAGTTTCGTGATGAAAATGCAAATTAAAGTGGAAGCTCTGCCATTTTTGTTGCAAATGACAGATCAGGTTCAAGCTACACAAAGCCAGTGGGATCTAATTATATGGTAAATATGAAATGGTTGTCCCCTTGAAACTGTGAAGTTTGTAAACACTTGTTTGTACACCAAGGCCAAGATTTAATCAAACCTTCAGCAGTGGCACAGTGTCCAAAGTCAGCATTGTTATGTAATTGCTTTTGCACTGGGTAAAAGTGATTACACTCATAAAACTTGTTAGTAAATAAAAGTCTTGCATGTACACAACACTGTATTAGAAGAATTTATTCTTTCTATGAGCTGAAATGGCTCAGTGAGACTGGTGGGAATTCAAGATTTCCCTACTGATTTCTACTCAATTAGTTTAGCAATTATTGTTTTTCCTGATGGAGTTTTGCAAGAAGAACACAGAAAAAACTCACTCCTGACAGGGTAATGTGTTCTGGTCCCACAATCTTACCGCCTACTTTTCAGCTGGTTTTTGATCTCCCTATCCTGGCCTCATAAAAGAGGGGTTTTCAGCAGAGGTACATTTCATGTTTCACTCGACTTAATGTAGAGAGAGAAACTCGAGAGAAAGAAAATCGAGAGAGAGAAAATCAAGAGAGACTGACTTCAAGGGTCTCTGGTAGTAAGAGGTGGTGTGAGTGTGCAAGACGGAGTAAAACTAGGGATGGGTGATGGCTGGGGGGGTTAATATCCGGTTTGTGTCCATGGCGACTGCGCTGTTGTGTCTGCAGTGAACCTGCATAAAGGAGCACCATCCATCCTGATCAAACATCCGGAGAAGAGAGTGGACTAAATAGTTGCTACCACATAATGCGATTTAAAAAAAAAAAAAAAAGTCTAATTTCAGGCTGCCAGAAACAAAAACAGATGCATCTTATAAACATCACACAATCATTCACACAGATCCCCTTGTCTTTATTACTTTAGACCCCTCCTTAGGGACAGAGCAAGACTGCACTAAGGTATAACTCTGCATGAACCTCTGTTACAGAAAAAGCCCAATAAAAAGACTTCAACATCAGATGATTCTTTCAGGTCTTAGGAACTCCACCTCTTCAATTGTTCTCAACGCCTGCAGTGAAAGTTTATCGAAGTAAATATACAGCAGCATAAGTGACTGTTTCGTTGCTGTATCAGACATGTGAAACTTCTCTGACTCTTTAGAGATTTAAAGTACATGATTATCCACAGCAGCAACACCCCACTTAGACTTAGTGTAACCAAAAGGCAGTATGTGCGCCAGAAGAGGCTTGGTGTTCTTTATTTTCAGGCTCCCAATATAGCCTGATTCCTATCCAACAAATAAACTCAACTGCACCTTAACTTTGTCATCCCCTATACTAAAAATAATATTTAAGAAAATACATTACCATCCAGCAGCTTTCTCAAACTGGTATCATATTGACTAAGATAGCAGATTGCATGATGGCATGATAAATACGCTGAACAGTAAAGCATATTATCAGTTAAAATGATTGTTTTGAGGATATAATGTGTCATTACCCTGTATCAGACGGATAAACAGAGAATGAGAGACAACGGTTAATTAAGTAGGCTACACTGGGCAGCTGCTTTCACAACCTCCTCACACCACATTTTTTTGTTGTTAATAGGTGAAAGGAGTTGTAACCATCAGAGAAAATAGTTGCCTTTTAAAAGTGACCTGGATATCAAAGAAGACTCACAACTTCACAGTTTTATTTGCCACTGCAGCATTTAGGGCTGGGTATTGTTAAAAAATATTCCATATCGGTACTGATACCTCTGTTTAATTTTTTAAAATAAATTTTAACAAAAAGAAAATTACATTACACATTACTGTCCAATGGAGAACAGAGAAACTGTTTTTACTCTGCACACTTAACTCAATAACTGGACTAGACAGAAACGTTCTCCGCCTTGGCTCCAGGTTATTCATCCCTGTGGTGATGAGGAAAAGGTGCGTCACCCAGGGAGGGAAATTAGCACCAGCCACGAGCCAAATGCTGGTAAAATATGAGGAAACTATCTGGTAGATTTCTGACACAAAATAATGATTTACAATTGAGTGACTGGGCATAAACGTAGTGATTTTCCTGAACACCTCTTTGACACGTAACATTAGACAGCCTGCTGCATGCTTATTGGTGCACTGATGCTGAGGAGATTTACTCGTTAGGCATTGAAATTTGGTACCGAATGACAAGGCATTTTTTGATACTTTGTAGTATCAGCTGTAGCAGCGTTACAATATGACAGGGAACAGACTGAAACATTTGAGTCTGAAACCAATGTGTTACTGTCTATTGTAGAATGAAGTGAGGGCCAGGTCTTTTTTTTTAGACAAGACCACAATAAACATGTGTGAGAACAAGTCCTGCTTTTACATGAGGTTGAGTAACTTCAGTTGGGAGAGAAAAGTACCAGCAAAACACAAGAAACCAAGGCTAGCACACTTGCGATTCCCTGTAAACTTTGGGTGAAAAGTGTTAGCACTTAGATAACTGGGTTGTGTTCAGGACGATGACGATGAATAAAAAGATCCTCCACTGTCTTCATTACATTTTTACTTGCAGTAGAAAGAACTAGTGCTGTTATCTTACCTGTGTATATGAGTGTGAGACAGAGAGATAAACAGACAAAGATAGAGAAAGCGATAGAATAAGAGAGAGAGATTAGGCCCAACGTGCCGAGCATCAGCTGGTGTGTGCAATTACTCCTGTACTGCAGATAATGCAATTAGACCTGTGTGCTAAAGGGATTTGGCTGTTATAGTGTTCTCTTCCACAGCACTGGATTATAACTGAATTATCCAAGTGTTCTGCTCTACAGCACAGCCAAATGTCAACAACCAGTGCGCAGACAGGCATAAAAACACAATGCGTCAATGCGTGCATGCATGTGGTGCTACGGTGGTAAGACTAGGTCAAATGGGGATAATTAAAGTAACAGCTTGCTTTTACGAAGTAATGTTTGCAAGGGACGTTTTAAAAGATAAACAAATAGGCGTTGTGTTGGTCTGTTACAGAGGCAGTTTCAACACACTGTTGAACTGCTATAAACATGGTTCAGAGAGCTCAACACCGTCACAATAAATCTGCTATGATTCAAACATAACACTCACTCTCGTCTTTACAGCAAAACATCAAGGTTACAGGTAACTTTTGCTCTGTCAGCAGTTCAAGGGTTGTGTGTAACCACAGTAGACAGGAACCTTTACCCCCTCTGTGTAAGTGCCAGACATAACTCCTCTCCCATATGGATACCTCAAGGAGCTCTGCAGGGGGTGGAGAATGAGGAGGGGGTACTGCTGCCAAAACAGTGTGTACGGGGTAGGGGGGTAGTCTGTCTGGTTTGCCCCTTCTACAAGCATTTCCAGGCCAAGACATGTCAGACATGCTACCAGTGGGAGCACAGGCAGCATCTGCCACACTGACCAGGTGGCTGTAGGACATTTGTTGTTCATTACCAAGTCAGCGTTTACTGAAGATCTTGCCACTAACATCGTGGCACAAGCACTGACACATGATGGGAGTGAGGAATTCTGAATGCATGGGCCATCTTGATTCCATTAGAGCTGCATTAGTTTAAATTGATTCCTAATGGCCTTTTTTAATGACCGCTGTAGAGCAGGCTTCTTG